CCGGACGAGTGTTTCAGATCCCAGATACACGGAGCCCCTCTGTCTCCTCGAACACATAGAGAGGGTCAACACGGCTCACCGTCTGGGGGCACTCCTGTGGGTTGGACTGTGCCCCTTAAAGAGATACGCTCAAGTCCTAACCCTGTGAACTCGACCTTGTTTGGAAACAGGGTCTTTGAAGATGTCATCAGTTACCACGAGGTCACACTAGAGTAGAGTGGGCCCTAATCCCATCTGAGTAGTATCCTTATAAAAGAGGAAAAGGGACAGGCACAGAGAGGGAAGACGGACGTGTGAAGAGACAGACAAGGAAGGCTCCTCCCCTGGAGCCTTCCGAGGGAGCTCAGCCCTGTTAACACCTTGATTTTGAACTTCTGGCCTTCAGAACTAAGAGAGAATCAATTTCTGTTGTTTTAGGCCTCCTGGTTGTGGTCCTTTGTTATGGCTGCCCCTGGACACCCAGACAGGCACCCGGCCGGAGAGGAGGGTGTGAGGGAACCCACAGGCTGGCCTGAGGGTCTCAGAATGCCAGACCACCCTCTCCACATACTCTGGGAGCCTCCAGCCCTGGACCTGCCACCCCACCTTGTGAGGCCTCAAAGGCCTGATCCCTGCCGCCCAGACTCCAGCCAGCTAGGCACAGAACCTTCTGGAATTTTGCCATGATGGCCTCCAGCCTGCATGGTTGTTTTTCCACACTTTTCTTTAGAGCAGCTCGCTCTGACTTTAAAAGTTAAGTTCACTTAAAGGGAGGTGCAGCTCAGCCACTATGGAAACCAGCATCCCTCCTGAGAAATCAACATGTACTCTCAGAACAAGATCCGGTCAGGAGTGGGTCTGCCCACAGCTGCAGCCTGCTGTCCAGGCTCGAGGGGCAGAACTGGGTCAGCAGCAGCCTGGGAGACTGTTCTCATCAGAGGCTGCACGGGAGCGGAGAAGGGGTGATATTAAAAGCATAGCCCTCGGCACACTTAGTGGTGTCCGTCCTTCTGTCCATTGACTTTTGGTCCCTCTGGCATCCAATCCTCCTTCTCTGGGTCACCTAGCCAGGCCCTGGGGAATGTGGCCTTGGCAGCAGATGCCACCCTGGCGGGAGATGCTGTGGCTTTTCTGGGGCTGGAACTGCCTTCTGAGGAATCCCGCCTCTGACTAATTAACCAGGGCAGGCTGTGCCTGGCCCCCAAGTCCCCAGGGCAGCTCCTCACGTGGGCAGGCACAGCTGAAGGCCCCTTTGTTCCTTGAGGCTGTGAGCCAATTAGTGCTGGATTCGGCTCAATTCCCCCTGCAGATCCATTAAGTGTCGGGACTTCTGTCCTGCGGAGCGGGTTCCCTTTGTTCAGCCTCAAGCTCTAGATCACGCCCTGTCCTGATCTGTAAGATCTGATTCAGGCATGTGGTGACTGCTTTTCCTTTTTCTTTTTAAGTGATCCCAAGAACAGAGTCATGGGTCGTGCTGTCTCCTCTTTGCACCCACAGTTGTGTGTGACCGAGACTAAAGAGTTGCCAGCCAGGCGGAGGCACCACACATGTGAGCTCAGGCGGAATAGAAATGGATAATATCCTGGCCGTTACCAGGCAGCCGAGCCCAGCTATAAATAACCCGCCGCTGCCCAGACCAGCTGTGCCGTGTGCCGTGCGAGCTCTGGGAATTTGATCGAGTGGCTCTGAATGGGGAGACTCAATGGGGCCGTTCTGAGAGGAGGGCTGGAAAACCTCGCAGGAGTCCTTCTCCATTATAGCAGTATTTCTGGGCTCACGTTTAAGGGCGAGATGAGTAACTGGGAGGTTAGAGAGGCCTCCAGCGGCCAAGAGGACAGAACCCAGAGCCGTTCACTAACCTGGCCAGGGTGCCCCTCTAGGAGTTCCCTCGTCCCTGTGGTCAACACGACGCTGTAAGGTTGGGCTGGCTTTTGGATGTGTCTCCAGCTCCCAAAATTTGAGCTCTTCTTTTGAACTCCACTGCCGTGGGTCACTGTGACTTCAGGTCTGTCTTTCTGTCTGTCTTATGCCCAAAAGGAGGGAGCTGCCAGCAGGCATAGCTGGACCTTCAATCCTTGGAGATGCTCCGAGTTCCTTGCAGGGGGCTGTCTGTCCGGGGCTGCGTGTGCCCCTTAGAAGGTGACCCCGCTGTCCACCCTGCTTCGGGTCACAGCAGGGACAGGGCTACCAGCCAGCAGACCCCTCAAACTTAGGGACACGAGCCTTGACACTTGCCCAGTGGGGGTGCTATGCCCAGGACCAGCTGGGCCTCCACCTCAAACCCCCAGCCAGGTGTCCACACCCAGGAAAACCTCTAACAGGAGCCGTGGCCTTGGGTAGGTGTGGGGGTGGGGAAGGGGTGCTCCACTCGCAGACACCGTGTCCTTTGGGGGAGCACCCGGCAGCCCCCTCCCCATGTACCGCCTCAGACAAGGAGAATGAGGCCCAAACCCCTGGGCCCACGCTGGCTGCTCTGGGGAGATGGTGTCCTGCTCTCTGAGGAAGAGGGGCATCCCAGATGTATGATTCCCCAAGAGCACCTGCTGGCCTTGGGTCCCAGGCCCCAGCCCACGGCACCGCTCAGCACTGGCCAGGCACAGAGCCTCCCCTCCCTCACCTGCCCAGGCACTATCTCACGCCTACTTTTATTTATACCTGGAAGCCTAACAAGGACCCTGTGAAGTCGGCTAGAGGCCCAAGCCCCTTCCTCAGATCCTGGGAAGACATGTTTAGGGCTTTAGAGTATTCCAGATGATGCTGAGCACACATGGGGCACACATCCCGCATCTCTGGGCACCCTGAGTGGGGTATGGGCAGACCCCACAGCCACCCACCCCGTGTCTGCAGAGGAGCTGTGAGCACCCACTCCAGTGAGGAAATGAATACCGTCAGCAACCTCGTCAGTCAGCCCTGCCCCCATAAGTCAGGTCGTGTTGAACCTGCTGCCCACGAGTTGTGTCTGGATTCCAGGTTTGCAGTCAGGTCATGGGGTCCAGATCATGGTGCCCCCATGTCCCAGGGAGGAGCCCAGGACTCTGAGAGGGTCACGGACCTGCCCAAAGTCACCAGGAGGAGCCGTGGAGCTGGAATTCACACCCAGGCGAGGGCACGGCATTAGGCACTTGGACCCCACTGTCCTGTCTTGGTGAGAGGACGGGGCAAAAGGCCAGCTCAATGCTACGATGACCACACAGCCCAGGACCAGGCAGCCTCCGAGTCCCAAGGTCAGCATAGGCCAGGCAAGGAGTGAGGCCCTCCCCATCAGCCCCTCACCGGACAGCGGGCACAGAGCACAAGTTCCTATTTTACAAGCTTGCTCACTTCCACCATCTTACTCTATCCCTGCAATCCTCCCAAGCCAGCCTGATCCCCACCGGGCAGACAGGGAAACTGAGGCAGAGAGAAGCTCACGCCGATAGCCACAGAGGAGGGGGCTCTGTGAACACGAGCTTCCTGCCTCCCTGCCCCCATCCTCTGTGATGGAAATCTGCATTTAAGACCCAGGTTGGACGCCAGCTCTTCTAGAAGGTTCTCCTTGGCAGTCCCCCCACAATGGAGGTCAACTCCTCTCTAGAAGCTCCACATGAGTCAAGACCACCCACCAACCTACCCACTGCAGCTGTGGAGCAAAGCCCCAGAGAGCAACCTCCAGGACCATAGCCCCCCAGGCCCAATTCTTGGGACTAACGGGGATCCTCACAGACAATCACCCACAGACCAAACCTCGACCCTAGAACTGCTGAAGTCAGTCATCCGACTCAGCAGGTAACTAAGTACAGTACGTGCTGATGGCGCCTTCAACCTTCAAACCTCATGCACCCCAGGCCCAACAGACAACGCAGTTTCTCCCGCCAGAGGGGGCCACGTGACACTCACATGGAGGCAGGGGCCCTACCTCAGAGCACAGAACCAGCCCCCTCTGCAAGGGGAGAGAATCACAGCCATGGTAGTGGGGAGGCACAGCCATGGGGTGGGGTGCACCCAGGGAAGGACTTTCTTATACCTTTACCTGTGGCCTAGTCAGTGCCCTCCTGGGGGCCAGGTTAGGGGGGGTGTCAGGGATCGAATCATGTCCCCTAAAAATATCTGTCAACTTGGCTAGGGCATGATTCCCAGTATTGTATGATTGTCTACCATTTTATCATCTGATGTGATTTTCCTATGTGCTGTAAATGCTATCATTATGATGTAATAAAATGGATTAGCAGCAGTTATATTGATGAGGTCTACAAGATTAGATAGTGTCTTAAGCCAATCTCTTTTGAGATATAAAAGAGAGAAGCAAGCAGAGAGACATGAGGACCTTATACCACCAAGAAAGCAGTGCCAGTTGCTGAGCGCGTCCTTTGGACCTGAGGTTCCTGCACTGAGATGCTCCCAGACCAAGGAAAGACTGATGACAAGGACCTTCCTCCAGAGCCAAAAGAGAGAGAAAGCCTTCCCCTAGAGCTGATGCCCTAAATTTGGATTTGTAGCCTACTAGACTGCGAGAGAATTTCTCTTTGCTAAAGTTATCCAGTTGTATTTCTGTTATGGCAGCACCAGATGACTAAGACGGGGGCGGGGGGGTGGGGGGAGTCAGAGCAACACAGCAGGGGGGCACGGGGCTGCAGCCTCTGTCTCTCTATATCTCTCCATCTCTCTGTTTCTTTGTCTCTCATTCTCTGCCTCTCTTTTCTTCTCCCTGTTGCTCTCTGTTTCTCTTTGTGTGTCTCTTCTCTCTGGCTGTCTCACTCCCAGTCCCTCCTTCTGTCTCTGTCTCTGTGTGTCTCTCTGTCTCTGTCTCTCCCTACAGTAGCAGCAGCAGCAGAGAAGCAGCCCAACCAGCACCAACAGCATCTCTGGCACCCTTCCTCCTCTCAGCCTGGCAGGCTCCTCGCCCTCGAGGCTACAATACGAGCCGCCGGGAGGGGACGCTGTGGCAGTTCCCAGCTGACCCTTAAAGGCAGAGCCTCCTGAGCAGCCTGGACACCCCCACAGCCACAGACAAACGATGTGGGATGCCCACGAAAAACACCTACCGACACTGGTTATCTTCTGGGAGCTGAGGTCCTGCAGCAGCGCCTCAATGGTGGGGTTGTGTCGGGAGTACAGCTCATAGCGGTTGATGCCGATGTGGAATTTCAGCCAATTGGGGTAGGCGTCCACGGCTGTGCCCCCAGTGGGTAGGAATTCTTCACCTTCATTACCTTCATGTGGCCTGTAGGAAGCAAAGATAAAGATAAAGACATCTGCATACGCTCGCAGGTTGATCCACAGTCCATAAAACAGGACAGAGTGCAGGACCCTGAAGGCCCTGGGGAAGGGTGAACAGGGTGGTGGCGATGCTGAGGCTTTCACCGTGCCTTGAGATGCTTGTAGATCAAAGAGGGGCCGGTGTGTTTGCACTTTCTTTCCTGGCTCTTGTTCTATCCGCTAATAACACACCCAGAGACCATGATTCCTAGTTACCCTCCGCAGACGCCCCAGACAAGCTACGACTAAGGCCAGACTAACCTGGAGTGTCAGCGCCAGCCCGGCCCATTCAGTCCGGGATCGCCGGGCCCTGAAGCCACCTGACAGCGGGCTGCTGGCCACCCTGGTTGCAGGAGCAGAGATGTCTCTGACCACAGACACGCCCAAGCCTTCAGGAACCTTCCTGGGGTCTTTGTTCTAGTGACCAAGGGTCAGAATGATGCAAGAAGCTGAATTTGGTTCTAATTAGAGCAGCCTTGGGTGGGGAGAGAGGATGAGGCAGGCCCTCCTGCTGGCCAGGCCTCAAGGCACCGCCCCCTTGCCTGTCTACACAACCCTGGGGTCAAGGGTTAGTCTGGGGGAGGACAGACTCTCCTGTCTGTCTGCTGGCTGGAGGAAGAGTGGAATTATCTTAGCTTTAATTCACCTGGAAGCTCTGTCCTGCAACAGACTTGGGGGGTGTGCAGGCGCCTCCCAGAGGCTGCAGTCACTGACCGCTGGGAGGGCCCAGGCTGGGCTACTGCTGCGATTCTCGAGTTTCTGAGCATTTCCTGGGCCTGGACCAGGGCCTGGGCAGTAGACAAAGCTCGAGCCACCCAACACCACAGTGAATGAGACAGAAAACACGGGGCCTGGTTGTGTTTTAGAGGGAGGGGATTCTCACCAGTTGTTTTGGAAACCTGCCCCTCCCTACTCCATCCTCAGCCCCGTTGCTTGGGTAACATTTTGCAGGTTGTTATTTATTCTGGCCTCAGTGGTAGTTAATATTTCACTACTCAGGTTGCTGCATCTGCTTATTTTGAGCCGTGTGGCTGAGAGGAGGGCCTTGCGGGAAGGGTTTAAGCCAGGATAGCTTCAAAAGATGCACTGGGGGCAGCTCCTCTCCGCCCTGCCTGCAGCCCTTCTTGCACAAAGCTTCCACCCCTTGGCAGCTGGCACTGCTCTCAGCCTGCTGAGAGGGAGACCCCTTTGTTCCACTCACTCATTCCTGACTCATTCATTCATTGCCTAACCCACTTACCAGGCCAGTGGCCAAGGCCTGTAGGGCAGGGCTGCTTCCTGGAAACTGGGGCTCTGGAATTCCTCCCCATCATACCTCCCCGGCTCCAGGGTGCCCAGCCTGCCTGCCCCACCAGCACCTCGCAAAGCTGGCAACCACCCAGCAGCCCCCAGTGGAGGGCACGGGAGACAAAGGCAGTGCTGGAACAAGAGCCCTCCTGTGCCCCAGCCTGCAGCCCCACCCCACAAAGCTCCCTTTGCACAGGGTCTCTTCCACGGGGTCGACATCCTCTGGGGGGTCCCGGAACCCCTGGACCTGTTTGCACAACTGGGGTGCAAGGGCATTCCCTGGGGAGCAGGCACACAGGTTGATCTTTTTTCTAAGGGTGCGCGGCGCCCTTAGGGGTCAGGTCTGCTGGTGCCCACTCAACCTGCGTCCACGCGAGCACAGGGCGAGTCCCGCACTCACCAGTCCGGATCCTCCGCTGCCCTGGGGTTGAACCTGATGTCGCTATTGACATTAAACAGGACGTCATCTCCAGTTAACGGCGGAACGGCCACCTGGTAGAGTGGGTGTTCAAACAGCCTGGTCAAGACGGAGCCGTCCCCGCTAGGGCCCGGAGGCGGCGCTGACCTCCGAGGACCGTGGTCGCGGAGCAGCGGCCGGTGCGCGGGGTTGCGGGGCTGCGGGGCGCCAGGGTCCCGCCCTCGCCAGGCGCCCTCGGCCGGATCAGCCGCGGGCGGCAGCTTCTCCAGCGAGTGGGACGTGAGGTTGGAGGAAGGGTCGGAACTGAAGTCCTGGAGGATGCGCAGCGTGTGCTTGTTGGGCCAGCCGGGCTCCGCGGCGGCTGCTGCGGGCTCCCCGGGGCGGCCCCGCGCCTGGGCCCAGCCGGGCGCCGCCGCCTCGGCCGCGGGCTGCGCGCACGAGCAGCCGGGCTCGCCCGGGGGCCGCGCGGCGCGCCGCTCCAGCTTGGGCAGCAAGTCCAGCACGATGTGCAGCGCACAGGCCACCAGGAACACCATCAGGATGAGCACGCGGAACCTGCGCACCAGGATCATCTTCATGGCCACAGGCGAGCGACTTGGGGTCGGGCGCCCTCCGGAGCGCCGCCCGCTCCTCTAGCCTCGGCTCCACTCGGACACGGCGCCGCCTCGCGGGTCAATGTCCATCCAGCGCTAGGACAGCTACCAGCCGCGGAACGGTGCCCGGGCCAGGACCCCGCGGAAGGAGCCCGCTGCTGGAGCCCCTGCCGGCCGGGCCATCCCGGGGACCAACCCCTCTGGGCTTCTCCGGAGCGGCCGCGCCCTCAGCGGCCAGGCCCCGCGTCCCTAGTCCGTGGGGCTCGGTGCGCCGGCGGCGACGCAGAGCGTGGCGGGCCGG